TTTAACATAAACCTGTGTAGTGTAGTCTAGTTACAGATGAACTCCTAAATATATTTCATTTTTAGAAATAGTTCCTTGATATGTGTTTGTACTTTACTGGGAGGGGGCGTTTTTAATTTTAAACGATAAATAATTGTAGTCTACCTATTTTCTACATAACTCAATGTTATATATAACTTTATGTACCAATGAGAGGCACGTCTAGAGGTCGAGGCCTTTTGATCTTTGCAGCTGGCTGTGGTACATTTGCAGAAGCTGAAGGTACAAAAGGCTCGATTTCCCATGGTGAGACCCTGTCAGGACGCAATATACTTGCTGGTTCATCCCATTGAACCTAATGACGACAATTAATGAGTAATTAACGTGTGCATATATAAGAAAGGTGCCATCTTCTGCATGTCTTAAATTTATATGTTGAAAAGTATTACGAACCTTAAGTGAACGCCATGGGGAGTTAGTCCACTGGGAAGATAAATCCTCAACGCCAACAATCGTGCCCGTGAACCTGCAAAAATTAAGTAAAGAAAAAAAAAAAGAGTAATTAAGTAGCAAANAAAAAAAAAAACGCAAACCTTCTCTCGGGTGAGTCTTCTCCTTCGAATCTCATTCTGAATCGCATACCAACCGTAAATCCATGTTTGGCAGCCTCTAAGTATTTGTTTAGCCCGATAATGAACTGGCTTGTCCTGATCAGTACAAGAGAGATTAGATGACAAATCTTTAAAAAATGAACAAAAATGATGTTATATTCCAGTTTTGGGAGGTTGAAATTAAGAACCTTGGCTTATAATACACGACAAAGAGGGTTTGAGTTGTGATAGCATGTGATGCTGTTGCAAGCACCCCAAGATGCATGCTTTGGCTTGAAATTACCGAAGGTGGCATTGAACTTTGTTGCCGTGAAAGACGGCGTACACCCACTCGTAACTCCCCATTTTCACCTCTGTAGTTAGTTATTAACAGTAGTAAATAATAGTGGACCTTTTTTACAGTGTGAATGCAACAAGGAAGCATTTGAAAGTGATTTGTTGTAGAATAAGGCTATACATAGTTGAGAATTCGAAGTTGGAATTTGGCATTTATAGGTAGAAAGTAAAAACTTCAGTTAAATAAAATAGTGTTTGTTTAATTAGTTGGTAACTTATATTTGTGTTAAATTATTAACTAAATCAGGCATAATCAGAACTGAAGTCATATTTTATTGATTGCTATAAATATTGAAAAAAAAAATGTACCTCAAGAAAACGAAGGAATCACCAGCGACTAATCTCTTTGAGGTGACGAAAGTACTCCATCCAGTCGTAAGTAAATGCCTCCTAGGTTGACCTGATGAAAAAACAATTGAACCATGATAATTTAAAAGAAAATATTTAGCAAAGTAAATACCAAAGAGCATATAGAAAATGCTATTACCTCTAAATATGTGCTTGAATCGCCACTCATACCCATGCAGATCTTTGGCGATCAAATCCTGGGTTGGAATTGGTTGGCTCATATCCTTTGTGACCAAAAACAGCAAATCAACATCACTAGTGACTTATATTACAATATAATGAGAATATAAAAATTAACTTCACTTCCGATTTCATGTTTATTAAGTACACCAGCAACTTCATATGTGATTCAAAAAACACATCTATACAAATCAAAGGAGAAAAAAACTAAGTACCCCCACTTAATATAGTAGATTAGTTTTTTATGGT